AAAAAAAGAAAATATCTCAATTTGTAATGAAAAGTGTGGACTCCTAAACATATGTGCTACTCATAATTTTTATGCCAAAGGTGAAGACTTAGAATTTCATCCACCCCCCTCTACTTCCAGCCTTCAGAGTTCCCCCTCCGGCCCTTTCATGCGTTTGCTCTATCCAGCGGACGGCTGATCCTCTGTGGAGTTTACCTGCCTTCCGCCGGAGTCAGCAGAAGGTTGCAATCAAAGCAAAGGATGTTAAGAGGTTATTCTGGGTTGGAAGGTAGTTTCAGTAGTTCATTCACTGCAACGTCTTGAACATCGAGCAAAGTGTTCCTCATGATAAATGGCAGACATTTTAAACAATATTTTAAATCTCATGAATGGTAAGTCCATAAAAAGACATATTTTATAAATGTGGTCTAATTCCCAAACCAATTTGAAATTGTATAATTAGCTGATGGAATTCTAGATTTGACACCCTTGAAGCACCACAGAGCCCCACTCATGGACAAGATGTGGAATTTCAGAATGCCATGTATTTGCTTTGAGTTTTATTTATGGTTGGTGTTAACAAAGGTCATGAATATTTTTTCCTGCATCAGAATACAGACCTGCTGCTTTTCCGCATTAGAAGCACACGTGGAAATAGCGCTAGCCCTGACTCGGCGACTGCCTTAGCTTTCACTGTTTCCACATTAGTCTAAGGGAAATGGGTTTTATTACTTTTAAGACATTTTTTACTTTTATTGAAAGGCATTATAAAATTAATGAAAAGTCACGATCGAATGCAACACACTGCCTTTATTCTGTGTCTTTAGGAATTTAAAACTATCATTTACTGAGCCTCTTGCCTTATGAAAAAGATGATGTTTTACATCTAAATTAAGGACAAATTAAGGGTTTATATGCTTTATGTGAAAGAGACAGACTTATTTACATGTAACGTATAATTAATGGTTAATAAAACGCGAATAATACCTGAGTAAAATTCTTATTTGCGAGCAACAGAGAGTTACTTTGACCATCTTAACTAGGTCGAGGGTTTATCGAAAAGCTGAATGAAGACCATGAAGTTAGAGAAAAAGTTTGGGAAAATGGACAGAAAACAAGATTGATCCAATGGCTGAATAGCAAATATAAAAATCTGATTACTATTCCTTTGCTATTGCATCATGTTGCAGGCAGACATCGCTGCCAGAAACCATTCTCACCGAAACACCTCTGTTCTCCTCATCCCTCTCATGATCATGTCTCTTACTTCACACAGCCTTGTTGACACGCTTGTCTACCTGAGACTATGTCACGTCGAAGGAGGCCTTGCGGACCAAATGATGGAGCCCAGGATTGCTATCCCGTTGTCAAGGAGAAAGGACCTGATCATCTGCTTTCATAAACATTACAGCCTATTAAACCCCACAGGACAGCTCTATTCTGTCCTGGAGCCACTGTGAGTCCTAGTTCCCTACACTGCACACAGGACAAGGCATCTCACACACATTTGTTACAGGAGTAGAGAAAGAGAGGCTCTCTTCTCTACGTGTTCAGTGGAAGGTGCAAAGTTTGAATTCATGCCTGCTAGTTCCAGATCACACCTTAGTCACTTAGACTTTTATCATGGACCAAATATTCTTAAATTTCTAAGAAAAAGTGGATGATTCTTTGAACCCTCTTAGTAGGTAAAAGTGAGTTCATTGAACCCTCTTAGTAGGTAAAGGTGAGTTCATTGTCAGAAACACGGTAGATGATCTTGCTCTTTATTCAAAGGCTTTATATGGCCAGGATTCCCCTTATAGTATTTAGCAACTCACTAAATCTATTTCTTGTTTTCTTTATCTATACTAATGCCTCCACTCATTATCTTGTTTTAAAAATTCATTTAAAAAATCACTAATGGTGCTAATTAAAATGCAAGGACTTCTTAGTCAACATTTAATTGTACTTCTACATGCCCTATCAGTCCATATCTGCATTTGCAGAATTTCAATTTAATTGCATTAAAGAAATAATCTAAACCTCAGCATTCCTGTGTGTGCCTATACTCTATAAACATCACACAAAAGATTAGCTCTGAGAGACATATGGCTATTAAATGCACAGTTTCACATAACTTTCACAGCTTCTCCCCAGTGAGGATGCATTTGACCATGTGTGCATCTCTACTGTTGTATTGGAAGAAAAGGAGCATGGTTTTCCACCTCCTTGGGGGGAAATACATTGTAAGATGGCTGGAGGCTACTTCTTCATGAGAGATGTTTGTATTTGGAGACAAACGCACATTGAAAACTGAAAATGGAACGTTATTCTTGATGACCTTTCCCATCTCTCCCAGATTCTTAGCCAAATCCATGAAAGATCAGAGGGAAAGCCTATTTTATGCACCTTCTCTATGGATCACATTGTAGTGGAGAAGATGTCCGATGGTTTGTTATAAAGTGCAGGTTCAACTCTGCAATAAAAATCCTGCCAGTATTCATTACAGGTAGGTTCTCCTTGTATAAAGCATCTGCTTAAGAGGTCAAGTAGATGTATTGCTAAGGAATTACTTAGAGTTAACCTCTAGTCATACAAGCTAGGATTGCAACCAATCAGCGTTTTTCCCCCAGGACTTATATATCAGTGTAAATAGCTTCAACAAATCACATATTATTAGATTTAATTTTAGCAGTCATTATTGAAATCTTTCACGAGCTCATCAGTATTATATAGACAAATCTCAGTTGATAATATGGGCATCTTTCATAATGCCAAATCTTCCTATGAAAGTTGCAAATTAGGTGGCAAGTTGGTATTATGGAAACATCTGGATCTTCGACTGCAGCTTTTGTATTTTTAGATTTTTATGGGAGTGTATTACATAATACAAACTATCATCTAACTTCATATAAAATAAGAATTCTATGAATCAGGCATTCACTTTTGACTATACTGATAATAAAATCTTTATATTACTACTTTCTGTGCTTTACTGCATTAAAAAAAAAGTTACCACCTGGAATAAAGAATCCTAACTTGTTATGACCAAAATTTTAAAGCTGCTATTTTAAAATTCAAAATAGATAAAAGAACATAAAATAAAAACAAAATTATATTATATATATATGTATACACACACACATATATATTCTTTTGAAAAACACGCTTTTTTCTTGTACAGGTAAAATTCTTTATGGTGAGCTATTTAAAGTCTATTATATTAGGTATACACAGGAAATCATTAAAATACAGTTCTGTGAATGGTGTTTTGGCGTTACCACGTTCTTGTCATTGACAGTAGAAACTGCGAACGCTGGAACCTGGGTATGGGAAAGCCTGTCAGAGAATGAAATACTTTCCACTCTAGATTTTCCCATCCGAAGAGTGAGGAGAAGATTCTTGTCCTGTTAATGGCACAAAACGTGTGAAATGTATACAAATAAGGCAGTACTGTTGAATTGCATCTCCCAAAGCTTTTTCTGTGTGATGCTTGACATTCATTTGGAGTATATGGATGCTGGAGGTCGTCAAGAATCCCCGGTGGTGCAGTGGTTAAGCAGTTGGCTGCCACCCCAAAGGGCAGCAGTTGAACCCACAAACCTCCCCGTGGGAAGAAGATGTAAATGAGTGCCATAAAACCACAGGTGCCTGACGCATCTTATTTGCATGCTGCTGTTATTTAAAGTCTTATTTTAGCTGAGGTTGAATCCGGAGATTCAGATGAAGATTATCTTCACCTAAGTAATTTTAAAATACCACCACATGAACTATGTCTACAATGTTACATAAAATTATTTGTGATTTCAATTGCTTTGGGAATTAATCTCTCAGCAAGGAAAAAGCAGGTGGTAAATTAAATAAACCTAGGGAGGAGATGAGAAGAATGGAGTTCTTGAATTCACTAAGAAAATATGTTCATGGTAATTGGAAAGAAAGAAGAAGAAGAAAAAGCCAAAGCCATTACCTTCAAGGCTATTGTGCCTTCTTGGGGCCCTTCGGCAGAGAGCCGATCTGTTCCAGAGTTCCCAAGGCTATCAGGCTAAACAGACTGTCTTATCATTCTGCCAAGGAGTAGCTGGCGGATTTGAATTGCCAAGCTGTGGGCTGGTATTTGAGCACTTGAAGTGCCCTTGCTCCTGGTTTAATAAATCTCTTGCTTATAATTTAATGGTCAGGTTCCCATAACTGGGCTGCTTTACCTGAGTGGTGTGGCTTTCCCTCTGTCTCTGCAAAGACGCCATTGCTGTCCCACTCACTGACAGCCTGGAGTATCCATCTTCTCCAGGCAGACCTGCAAGGACAATACCAAAGGAGGAATGACACTGCGTCTCTTTGCCTTCAATGGAACAATGCGTGAGTCTATTCTAATAAATTGAAACTGTTATAGTGCACAGAATAAACGAATTGAATAATGAAATCCCCAATAAATCAGGGAAAATACAAACATTCCTGTTACATTTAGTAAACTAAGAAATTGAAAAGTCAAAGGAAATGAAAAGATAACATAGAAGTATATCATTACTAGCACATAAGTGAGCCAGGAGAAAGAGAAACTTTCTAGACACTGAAAATAGGTTGTTGAAGCACAAACCAAACCTGCTGCCATCAAGTTCATCCTAACTATCTTGACTCTACAGGACAGAGCAGAACTGCCTCATAAGGCTTCCGGGCTATTATCTTTACGGAAGCACTCTGCCACATCTTTCTCCCACAGAGTAGCTGGGGGACTCAACCGCTGCCTTTGTGCCAGTGGCTGAGCACTTCCCCGCCACGCCACAAGGGCGTCTTCTGTGGAAACACATTTTCTGATTGGGGAAAGCAGAGCATGTGGACATGGAGAATAAAACCATTATCTTGGATTGCTACAAAAGGGAGTTTTTATTTTATTTCTAGGGTAACAGGGAGTTGGGGAATAAATTAGAAGATAATCAATCAATTGCCAAGTCTATGTGCCAGAGGAATTCCACAGTTTCTTTCTACCCATTGTCTATAAGTTTGCTATATTGTGCTGTATCTCATATTGCTCTGATGCTGGACCGTTTCAGCAGAGCTTCCTGAATAAGGTGTCCGAGGAAGAAAGGTCTGGGCATCTACTTCCAACAATTGGCCAGTGAACATCTTATTGATGGCCAAAGAGTACGTGGTGATAGAGCCTCCTCACTTGGTCGAAACAACAGACTCAAACCCAGCAGTGAGCACACAGACTGTGTAGCACTAAGCAGCATTCTGTTCTGCTTTTCATGGAGCCACCCTGAGCTGGAGGGTGGCAGCTAACGCCTGCCCGGAGAGTTCATTTCATGCTCTAAGGGAGACGAGAACTGGGGCCAAACTAATTGAAGAAGAAGCCAGAGTAGCCTTTCATCCAAAACAGACTAATTCATAACCCACGCTATGACATGCACTGTGGTGTTGAGGAAATTTGCATGCCCCCCCCACCCAATAAAAAGAAGTACATCTAACTCTGAATAAATAAAAGATACAAAACATTTTCTTAAGTATCCCTATGGCAGAAGCAAGGTTTCTCAGCATCAGCATGCTTCTCACTTGGGGCCAGATAAGCCTTTGTTGGGAGCTCCCTTATGTTTCCACACAGTAGGATGTTTTAAAAGTCTTAGTTGCTCTCCATTTGCTATTGTAACACATGTTCAATTGTGAAAATTAAGTTTCCAAATATTGTCAAATATGTCTGGGCCAAAAAAATCCAGGATCACACATCATCACAAGTTATTTGATTGATAAAAATGAATAAATAAGAAAAATTTACCCACTGCCACAAGGTTCACATGGAAAACTTTAAATGAAGTGATTGCTATTCTCATCTGAAAGAATAATTAGTATGATCCAATTGATTAAACATATACATGATTCCTAGATTAAAAATCATTAGTAACTCACAGCATATTTTTCCAATTATATGAGATAGAGCATTTCTCAGGGAAGGCCTCCCAATTGATCTTGTGAAAGAATGGTTAATTTCATTGAGCGTGGGCAATCCAGGGCCCAGAAATTGATAGGCCTACTGAAAGGGAAACACGTGCCGATGATTGGATTCTAATCATAGCAACCGTAAGATAGTTAGTTAGATAGTGGAAGTATTGTTTGCTAATATTGTAGCAAAGAAAAATGAAGCAGCAAAGAAAAAGGCAGCCTGGAACAGGAAAGGGTCTCATCAAGTATCGAAGTAAATTGGAACTTAAAAGGTCCAAAGAGACTAGAAATTTAAGCTCAGGCAGAATTTGGACATTCAGGCTACCAGATAATAAGACAGTTGGCAAAACATCTGATTTCCGGTAGTAAGGCACAGTGAGGCTTGGGAGTCATGTAACGGATACTCATATGGGAGTATCATGGATGTGTGGGAGGGACAAAAAAACTGACTGACAAGGAAGATAGATGTCTACTTCTGGAAAAACCAATAGGTAAAAATCATATCGAGATAGGAATCCAAAGCAAGTAAGGAAAATATTGATCCATTTTTTAAAAACCTAAATTATAAATAAGTTTGCTCTTGGATTCAAAGCAGCAACTCAGTTTAGACTATGGAAATGCAAACGCAGAGCGGAATCAATAGCATGGTATGCCATTCAGGTCAATAAAGTTAATAAATATGTATGGACATTCTCTGAATAAATCACTGGAAGATGCAATGACAGGTAAAGAAAAGTCCCTATTCTTAAAGACTTCATCAGAGGACCCCCTTGCCACTTAACGGCAACCTGTGGTGGGCTGGTTTAAGGGTTAAGTAGGAGCACAAGTACTATTGAGCACTATCTTGGAGGACGCAGAGATCAGTTGCGATTGCATGGTTTAGATGGAGTGTATTGTGGAAATGTCACCCTGGGCCTTATGGAGAGGGAAGGACTCAGCTCAGTAAAGAAGAGTGAGAAGGGTATGCCGAGTGGAGCAAACAGATGAAAGGAGGCAACGCAAGCTCACCCACGTCCAAAAGCATGGCTTGAGAGATGGGATGACCAGAGCAGGGGCATGGAAGGGCCTATTAAAAGGCAAAGCAAGCCAACGGTTCAAGGACTCTGTGGAAGACTTCACAGACAGTTGATACTGTGTTGTAGGCCATAGGCAACACTCTAAAGTTCTGAGAAGGGCAATGATATGATCCAACTTAAGGAGAGAAATACAAGATAGTTTATAACGTTTTACTAAATTAAAAACAACCACAACAAAAAAGGCATACAAAAACAAGCATCAGATCAACTCCTCCAAATGTATGTGCCTAAAATTGAGGAGAAACAATATAAATGGCAAATAAATAATAAATATTGACTTTTACTAAATATCTAAAGTACTGCACATAATTCTATAGAATATCATGACATTTTTTAAAGAATTCTATCACAGAAATTCATATATATACACAAAACAAATGTGTATATAATCATCATCAGGATTCCAAACCAAATGTATGCCAGTGGGTTTGGGCATTCCTTAGAACACCAGTACCTTTGTATATAGACATCAGCGTGGCAAGCATGTTTGAACATAAACATCTGTATTTGCGTAATTAAGGAAATAAGATGAACACATTCATTCTAGGATAGCCTAGAGGGAATCAGTTCATTGGTTTGACATTATCTACCTCACACATTCATCCATTCATTCATTTGAAGAACTGGTTCTTTATTTCGAAGAGACACTTGTCCACTTTGGGTATCAAACAGTTTTCACTTGTATTATTGGTTTCTCTCCGCCACCCCCACCCCCACCCCCGCTGGTTCCCAAATGAGGTCACACCAACGGAGAGTACATTTAAGACAATAAGCTGTAGGATGCATACGCACCTGACCCACCTCACTGACCCTTCACTACAATGGGGAGCTGGTCTCTGCACCCCAGCCGCAAAGAAGCAATGGTTTAGAATTATACACAATTTCAAAAAAAGGTTTGTACATAGATATTCGAGATTTTTCCAGCTCTGACTGATACACAGCACTTTGGGATTGTACTTTGAGAGACAGCAGCTTCTGACCCGGAAGAGCATGACATGCTGAGTGTCACACGGCTAAATCAGTGGCAAAGACGCCGGTTCCTTTTCTGTCGTTTAAAAAGGGAGGCAGGAGGGCAAGGGGGTTTTGTTTGGTGCCACCAGAAATGAGCAAGCCAAATCCGTGGGATGAGTCCACTCGGGGACACATCGTGGTCCCTCCAAAATACCATGAAAGCTGAACACCTGAACAGCACTTATTTGTTTGTTGGTTGGTTGTGGCTGCCGCCTGCAGGAGTCTTTGCTGGCTCGACTGATCCTCTCCGGGTTCTCACAGTGCAGGCTTTCCCTCGACTGTGTTCGGCTCTCAGCAAGGCATGGCCCTTACTTCTTCCCTCCTCTATAGGGAGGACTATAGGGGTTTAACTTCCAAGAAAGTAAGAGAGGTCTTAGGCCACTGCTTCAGAACTGTGGCTTTATTTGGAATATTTTACATAAGGTTGCCATAACAATATCAACAACAACCAAAAGGCAATTACAAAATGTGTACATCACCACATGTTTCTAAAGACACTTGCTCTGAATAAAAAAAAGAGAAATATTGCATGGTTTAAAATCAGGAAAATATGTGTCAGGGTTGTATCTTCTCACCATACATGTTCAATCTGTCTGCTGAGCAAATCATCAGAGAAGCTGCCCTCTATGAAGAAGGCTGTGGCATCAGATTGGAGGAACACTTCTTAACCTGAGGCATGCTGATGACACAACTTTGTTTGCTGGGAGTGAGAGGTGATGAGCGAGTAAGCGCACAGAAAAGTTCTCAGTATTTTAAGGATTGCAATTCACTCATCCAGGATTGTAGCCTTCAGCACGGATTATAACCATGTAAAGATGACCAAAATCCTCACAACTGGACCAGGAAGTAACATCCTCATAACTGGAGAAAAAGTTGAAGTTGCGAAGGATTTTGCCCTGCTTGGATCCATAGTGAACGCTCATGGAAGCAGCAGTCAAGAGAGCAAAAGGTGTGTTGCAGCAGAGAAATCTGCTGCACAAGTCCTGTTTCTTTATGAAAACAACTTTTTTACACGACCTTTTTAGAGGATTGAAAAGCAAGGATATTACTTTGAGGACTAAGGTGCACCTGCCCCAACCCATGGTATTTTCCTTTGTCTCATATAGCTGTGAAAGTTGAACATTGAATAAGGAAGACTAAAGACGAATTGATGCCTCTAGAATTTTGAAAGTACCAAGGACTCTTAAAAGGACAAACCAGTCTGTCTTGGAAAGAGTATGGCCAGAATCCTCCTTAGAGGCAAGACTAGCAAGACTTTGTCTTATACATGTTGGAC